AGTTTGTTCATCGGCAATCAAAAGCTCCTAATAATCTAATTAACAGAGCTCTAAAACAAGACTAGAATACTAAATGAGGGCAGCAAAATCAAAGCTGACCCAAGGTTAATGGGTGGTGTTGGTCCTAATGGTTTTGAGCCTTCCCAAAAGCAGTCAACAGGTGTAATCCATATGCAAGGAACAATACGTTCAAGTAAGGCAGAGACCAATCCAGTAAGAGGGCCTGGTGGGAGAGTAGGCGCTGGTGGTTTAAAACAAATATCTGCCAATGTCCAGTTCCTGTAAAGAGTATAAATCCAAAAAAAGTCCAAAAACTGTAACTATATGTAATAAATCTTCTTCGCGCCTTTTAACCTTCAGGAAACCAACGAAAGCAATAAATCTGACTTACTCGCCATACATCTCAACGGAATATGCAGCAATCTGATTCATAATTTCCACGTGTTTCAACAAAGCCTCTTTAGTCAAAACATTAACACCCTTGATTTCTGGAGTTTGGATAACCACCTACAAAGTACTGACACATAATATTAATTAAAAGTAAAAAATGCCTAATAGAAAATAGAAAGGCGATCTAGATTCATCATCACAGGAAAAAAATAACTGCTTACTTGAAATGCACCTCCAAGACCATTTTCTTTGGGTATTTCTGGGCCCCTCCGAAGCGGCGTTATAGGTTTTATCGGCCTTGAATCTACCACAGGAAGTTTTGCGCCTGAAATCAGTGCGACAAAAGTTAAAAAACTAAAGTTCAGTTTAGTCAGTTTGGAGCAGATCAGGAGCATCGGCATAAAGAATTAAAGCTATGAGTCTTATACGACAAAAGAAACGTACTTGAGTTTATTGCATCTATTCCTTCAGCGTCCCGCCTTGAGCGAGCAGTAACCTGTCGAGTTTCTTGCTGTACCCGTGACAAGTAATTTAATTCCTCATGTAATCTTCCACCCTCTACAAAAGCAAGGCGAATGATGCCCGCGTTAATGAAAAAAAATGTACTGAATAAAAAATTTCGAAATAAGAAAAAGTAATTAACACAGAATCAAGTACAAGTTAACTTACGTGAAACCCAAAGCTTAACAATATCAGTTTCAATATGAACATTCTGAAGCCCATATGTACAACATAAGAATACGCAGATTACGCATAAAATAACTGCATAAGGCCATTTTTGAACAAAGGAACCCATATTAAACAAAATTGATTGGAAAAGTGATCGCGAATATAAGGCTATACGATTACCCGTTGCCACACCCTAAATCAAAACTTTTTTTAAACCGAAAGCCAAATTTACCAAGATAGAGATGTTGAGATTGAAAATAAAAGCCGAAAATAGGCGATGCTTACATGATTGATCTGCTGCAAAGCCATATCCGCATCGCACCAAGTCGGTCGCCTGGAAAAACTGTGACGCCATTTTGCAGAATAGTCTTCCGAGTTAGAGGACTCCTTGCCGACCAAATATTTATCAAGAAACTGTAAGATAAAAAGATATTAAATGCATACATACTTTTCAGCTACTAAACTTAGAAGAAAAAAGAAAAAAATCGAAGTTCTTTTGGAAAACAGCTTTCAAAAAAAAAAAAAATTTATTCTCAACAATAAAGAAAAACAGTTTTTCGAAAACAGCTTCAAAAAACACCTCTCATAATAACTCAATGAGCGCTGTACATAGAAGCAGAGATAGTTAAAACACTTGGTCACACCATTTCGATCACGCAAGGTGGATTAAATTTACAGAACGGATACAGACTAAGCGCTAATTTATAAATGGTTTGAAGCAAAGAGGAGTTTATATCGTCCAAAAACTTAAAATAAAAACTTGCATGCTTATTAGCCAATAAAATAAGTTTAGCTGAAGCAGAAAACGAAACGCCAGGAATGAAAGTTTCTTGAATACCGAATCTTTGGAAAACCCTTCATTAAGATCGTAATACACTGAATCATGGTCATCGTCAGACTCATAGAGGATCAGTAGTTGTTTACTGGAACTAACTGATACTGAACGGCGACATTCCTGGCCCATTGATAGGATTATTTTAAAAAGTAAATTCTAATCTTCTCTTCCTTACTCGTTTAACCACTTGTTTTTTAGTTTTTTTTCCTTTCCTCCTTTTAACTGACATAAACCTATAGTAAAAGTTACAACCACTTAAAAAAACAAAAGCAGGTGGAGTGAAAAAAAGAAAAATGCTTGGGAACGTTGAATTCTACTCGTTAATATGTATATTCGTGATATAAGATAGTAAAATCGCAAAATCATGACGGATTACAATAAGCAATGACAAAGCGACTGATCTCTTCACAGGCTGCGATTAATACAGTTCTAGAAATTTTTGCTCTAATTAAGCGGAAAACCAAGTATAAACAACTACTTATAGGCATACAAAAAAGGCTGTCAAAAATCATATTCCTAAATGTTCATACCAAATATCATTTCTAGTTATATGTATCACATTAAAACAAAATAGCTTCACCTTATCCCCAAAAGAAAAAATCATTGTAAAAGCTATATCGAATCTGTAATTAGCCTTCCAAATGCTATAGGACCATAATTTTCAAACAAAAGTCTGGATCGATACAAATGAATATGAAGAATTGGACCCAAATCCATATAAACGAAAAAAAAGAAAGGTGACTGAGCATAACTATTCATTAAAAGAAAGTGGAATCTTTCAGCCGGTATAACTATGAAAGTGCAAAGTCAAGGAATCAAAATCAAACGCCCCCTGGCTGCAGGTAGCCCCGTATTTCACTGCCGAATACAACAAGCACCCTCTGCTTCTGCGCCGACTTCAACAGAGAAAAGATTAGCGAACAATACTGAAACTTCAGCGCAACAGCACTATAATACATCGACCAAAAGAAGCCGCCTGAAATGGCACCATCTAAACGACGGATCATCAGCCCTGACCCCTTCTAATGGAAAAATTTTGCTGCACATCCAATATTGGCTGTTGCACTAGTCGCTATATGTATATGTGTCCTTCAGTCATGCTGATTAAGCTAAGCAGAAGCGTATTGGAGTGAATGAACTTTATTATAAGTAAAAAGGTTAAGACACCAAACTAATACAAAACATAGTTGAGGTTGATCAGACAGAAACGTTTTGCGCAGTTTTTCTCATTGAGCATAACATTAAGTTTTACAGGTTTTTTCAACTTAGACTATGCTTAAACTGATCAACATTTTTTTTCAAAACTCTCATTTCTTTTATAACTTTTTTGAGTAGCTCTTAGGATGGCAGTATTGGTCGGAAAGATGACAAAGTAAAGCGAAAGTTCAAAGCACTAGTAATTTTGTATAAATCAATAGTGTTCAATCAAATTTCCTCATTCGACTAAACAAATGCTTGCTGAAAAAAAAAAAAAAATACCTTGTTGAAAAAGAATAACTATTTCAAGTTTCGCTTGTGTACTACCCGATGCTTCCTTTTAGTCGTACTGCAATTTATCAATGTACCGACGAGTAACCA